GTTAGATTTGTGTTACCTGCACAGCTAGGGTCTCTCGTCTTCTTCTTTTTCCTACTAATTGTAGCTCTGATTGACCTACAGAAGGAATACGAATCATCTGACTCACCCTCCTTCTCGCTCATTTTCGTTAGGGGTTTCCAGATAGTGCACCATTCACTCATAGGACAGAACAGGCCTGGACAACCACCTGTTCGCACTTACGGGTGTGGAGGAGACCAATTCAACCATTTTCTCCGTACCGAACCTGAACCGGGTGATGCTTCTGCTTCTCATACTCTTTTCAGCAATGTACACGTTTGAACACAGTCAACAAATTCACTTTTAATACTTGTAACATTTTTTAAATGTTAAATAATATTTAAACAATTAGAATATTCAGAAATATTATTTAACAATTCACTTCTAAAATTTGATCGATGCGCACGCGACGGAATTTTAATTGGTAATGAGTCTCCGCACCGCTCAAGATTACTCTGATGTTTCGGTCGTCAGTAATGCGGAACAGTTGATAATTTTTCGAAAAATAGTTTTTGTATTCATTAATCAATAATTTTATAATTTTTCTATCGCAAAGTTACGCTTCCATTTATTACAATATAAAATGTACTAATTTATTAATTTTTTATCTGCTAAAATTAAATTTACATTTTCATGATATTAATTTTAAGTTACAATTGCATTGATATATATAAAATTTTACCTAGAGAAAAATTATATCAAAAATCAAATTAAACAGTGATCTTCGCTTCTGAATAATCGCGCAGCATGTAAAAAATTTCGCTTATTTATTGTTTCAGAGAGCAAGAAATATATGTAACTGTCTTTTCCATTATTGTAAATAAAATAATTTGTTATAAATGAATTATTCAAACCATGAAATTATGCGTAGAAATATAAGAGAATTTAATCTAATTTAATCTAAACTAATTCAATTGTTATAAATAAGTTAAAATAGTTAAATTTCTAAACATTGTTTAATATAATTTTCACAACCTTTCTATTACAATTAAACAATTAAATTAATTATCTCATTCAATAATTCATGTTGTTTGTCTTAAATACATTGCTTAAATCAATATATGAATATACCTCGTCTGTAGTTTTACATTAACAATTATTTGAATACAAAATGTTTAATAATACTTAAAAATGATAACTTTTAAAAATAGTTTTCTCTAAAAATGTTTTATATTAAACCTCCGACAGGAAAAATATCATTTCATATTATAGAAAAGTGCGTTCTTGATAGGTTAGAATATATGCAACTACTGTACGAAAGTAAACCTCATGAATTTAATGGTGATTTGGAATATTTATTAGAAAATTCAGTATATGACAAAATTGGACATTTTATATTAAGGTAAGTTTTTATTTACATGATAATTAGTAAGCTTCCAAATAATTTCGTGTTATTTTTATTTAATAATTTTGTAATATATAAATAACCATTTTAGGTTATTAGCATCTATATCTCAAGAGCTATTTAATTATTGGATTGTCAGAGAAACATTGTTATTCCAAACTAGGCTGAATTATATTTTACCAAGACAATTGTATAGATTATTTAAAAGTATTTTACATCAATCAGAAGAACTTAAAGATAAAAAAGGACTGATTAACAAAACATTAATCGATATATGTAGTTTTTTTTCAAAACCACTTGTCTTTAAACATATTGTATCAAAAAATCATACAAAAAATTGTAATTTTCTTAAAACTAAAGGTATTTGTACATATACATTTATTTATTTATTTACTATATATAGTAAATAAATCAACTTACTTTAATAATTCAATGATTTAAAAATTTTGTTACTTTTATCTTTTTAAGTGAGATACGAGATAGTACCAGATTTAATAAAGAAAAGAGAATTAGACTTGAATGCAGGATATGCTATTGTATATTGTTCCAAATTAAAAGAAGTATTAAAATCATTGTTTTATACTCATATAAGTAAAGAAGTAATATGCATGAAATCAAAAGCACAACATACTATAAATCAGGATATTAGACTTGATTACCTATATTATAAAATTCGTTCTAAAGTATTTCGAGGAAATCAAACATCTATTAAACAAGGGTATATAACTAAAGAAAATATAGACATCGAAGTAAAAAATTTTCCACTTTGTATGCAGCATCTGCATATAAGACTAAGGAGAGTACATAGACTTAGTCATTATGCTCGTTTTTATTATAGTTTGTTTTTAAAAGATGGTGGAATGCAACTAGAGGATGCTATAAATTATTGGAAAGAAGAATATTCTAAACCTCATTCCTGTTCTTCTCATTGTTCACATAATTGGGAAGCAAATGAACGAAAATTTATGTACAGTATTCGACACTTTTATGGCTTAGAAGGGTCCCGAAAAAATTATAAATCTCCTGCTTGTGAATTGATGTGTGTAAGTAATATTTCTTGATGTGTATGTGTGTGTCAAGAAATTTTTTTATTTAGTTCAAATTCGTCTCTTTTTATCATGTTATTAGATGAGTTCATCAAGTCCTATGTATGAAGGAGGATGTCCATTTAAAAGTTTTGACATAAACACACTAAAACATCTCTTATCTTTATCATTATCAAATGATCATGTAACAAACTTATTGAAAACTCTATCTCCTCAAATTCCTCAGACGTCTTGTGCTAAATTTTTTAAAATACTAAATCAAGATAGCAATGACATCGTTATTAATAGTCCTTTACAATATTACTTAGCAATGATTAATTAAATTTAACTATGAAGAATATGAACTCATAAATAATAGAGATTTTGATCTCTAGGATTTAGTGCAATAAGAATAAAATAAAATTTTATTTTTTATATAGATTTTTCTAAATTATTAATTATTGAAATTAAAAAAATTAAAATTTTTTAAGAACACTTTCTACAAGTGTATGATTCACACCATTTTTAACAATTACACAAGTAACACCAAGTTTACCTACATCAACAATATTTCTATGTTCATCATCAAAAAACACCATATCTTTATAGTCAATACCAGATGCTTTCTGAATCCTAGAAAAAAAATAATTCATAAAAAATTTTTGTTAAGAAAATAAAAACAAATAAAGCTAAAATTTTATTCACTTACTTAGAAAAATGATTTACTTTACATCCTGGATAAATTTCTTTATATTTAAAATATTTGTCCCAATTAAATAGATTCAATAATTGTTTAGCACCTTGTATTTCTGACGTACGAGATGCAACACCAAGTTCATATCCTTCTTCATGTAAATGTTTTAAAATATCAGGTACTTCTTTATAATATTGTATAATTTGGCCCTGAGAATCTATAATGTCATTTGCTTTCCTTAAATAAATTCAATAGAAATTTTCAACAATAATAACAAAATTATATATTTATATTATATTTTGTTAAAATTATATTTTTCAATTTACTTTTTAAAAGGAGGAGTAACATGAGTATCAACCCAAAATGGCCATAATGTATAATCTGAAATTGTTATTTTATTTATTCTATAGTTACTATACATAATAGTAGTAACACATTTCTTTAAAAAAAGTAATTATAAAAAAGAGAAAAGTAGAGAAAATTTTTAACCTAAATCAAAAACAATTATTTTTGGTTTACGATTTGTCTCACACATTTTTTGATTATAATTTTTATTATTTATAAATTGGAGTTATCGAATAAATAGTATTGACAGAATTTACACAGTTTTATAAATTATGTATATTTAAAATATAACTTCTTTTTAAGATTGAAGATACATTTGTATTTATTATATGGTTATATAGAAAAGATGTAGTTATATAGTCTTAATAGTACTACAGTAGTACTATCTCTGCTAAATGATATGTACTAAAATCATTGTGCAATGATGGAACATTGGCTCCCGGCAAAAGAATAATCTCTTCTTACTCTATGTTTAAGAGAGTTTTCTTTATAACATTTCTATATACATGCTTAAAGAGTTTTCTTTATGTGATACTTTCACAGTATGTGGTAACCAATGTATGTCGTATTTAAGGTTGCATTGAATCTATCCAAAACAACCAATCAGACCGGTATTCATTTCAGATGCCTTTATTTTGTCCCTGCACAGTACTTACTAGCAGTCGCAAAAAAATTACTTTATATATAAAAAATAATTTTATTACGTTTAAATTCGATTTTATATTTTCTTTAATAAAAAAATTCTATAAAATCATTAGATTTTCATGTACACGAAAATTTATTATTTTCAAAAGTAACCAATAACATTAAATTCCTTTGTTTCTTTGCACCCAATCATAAATGGACATGCATGTTAAGGCGATTTTCTAACTTGTATAAACCTTCAATTTTGTTCATCTTGTTCGGTGTAGTAGCGTCAATCTCATCTAGCGATCTTAGGGATTCGTGAAGTGTCGATTAAAAATTATTATTAAATTTATCATAAAGAATCATTATTTTAAATAATAACGTTTGAAGGTATTCACGTACGTTGTATTTCTTTATATAATTAACAGTAATAAGTATTCATACTATTTGCACGTTGCAAAGATCACGAATATGTAATTTGTTACATAGCACGCTGTGGGAATTGTTTTTATCAAATTGTATTGATTCTTAAACTAATTTTAGCTTTTTTGTATATATTGTTGTAAGATTTCATAATTACATTATTTCATAATTACATTAATTTGAACAAAAAAAGTAATATATTTTTTATATCATATATTTGAAACAATTTTATGTTATTGCTTTTCATATTGTAAGACTGTTTTTTTTAATCATTTTTAATTTATTTAATTTTTATTTTAACTTTTGTTTAATTTAAATTTGAAAAGTATGTAAACTTATATCTGGTGACGATGTTTACATTTTAGTCTTCTATAACACATTATATTTGTTACAGAAATGTCTGAATCCGATTTATTAGCTGCTGATCATATTGATGGTCTAGATGGACTTGAAAATGGTCAAGATGGAGATGCCATTATGCAGTGTGACAGTGTAAAACGTGAATTGAATGAAGCAAATATTGATGATCCGGTAGCTTGTTTCATCTCATCATAACTAAAAAAAGAAATACTTATTACATATATTTGTTGCTTTTTCTTTATATGAAATTTTTTTTTTATTATAGGAATTAGAGGCTATCAAAGCACGTGTCAGAGAAATGGAAGAAGAAGCAGAAAAATTAAAACAATTACAATCTGAAGTGGACAAACAAATGAATATGGGTAGTCCACCTGGAATAAGTAAGTTATAAATTATATGAGATCCAACATATGTTAAAAATTGGTGTTACAATCTGTTTGCATGAACTTTTTTTTGTAAATTACTACATGATAATTTGTAAAATTTTTAGCGAGTCCATTAAATATGTCAATTGAAGACAAAATGGAAGTTGATAATAGATCCATTTATGTTGGTAATGTAAGTTAAATATTTCAAATTGTAATGGGTAATGCTTTATTGAAAAATTTTGGATTAATGTACATAATGCAAAATTACAGGTTGATTACGGCGCTACTGCAGAAGAATTGGAGCAACATTTTCATGGTTGTGGCAGTGTTAACAGAGTAACAATATTGTGCAATAAATTTGATGGACATCCCAAAGGTTTTGCTTATATAGAATTTGCAGAACGTGATTCTGTACAAACAGCTATGGCTATGGATGAATCGATGTTCAGGGGACGTCAAATTAAAGTAATGCCTAAAAGAACAAATAGACCTGGATTATCAGTGACAAATAGGTACTTTAAAAATATATAACATTTATATTATATCTATATATAACGACTACAATATACTGAAATAACATTTAGGGGACCACGAGGAGCACGAGGTTATCGAGGTATAGCAAGAGGAATCATACGTGGCAGTGCATATTTTGGATATAGACCTATAAGGCGACCTAGGTATGTTGATAGAATTAAAAATATAAAAATTCAAACAAGATAAAATATCTTCTCTTTCTAATATTTTTGCACATAGGAGTTATAGACGAGGGTACTACATGCCATACTGACCGTTTTAATGTATTTTATCGGAATTTTGCAAATTAAGGTAAGTTTTTATATTATTGTGATTTATGAATTATTTTGTTTATACGATTGTTCAAACAAAATAATAAAATTTTTATATATAAAATAATCGTACGTTAAACAGGAGATATTTATGATATTTTGTATTATACAATTATATTGCAAAATTAAAAATAGTTTTGTTTGAACAATCAATATATGTATTATGAAAGAATGCATTTATAGGAAAAGCAGTGAAATAAATTTCTGAAATAATATTTCAAAATTATAAATACTAAAATAAATGATGAAATAAACTATTAAAATATTCACTAGCTATTCCTGAGTGAATGTAAAACTATTATTTTTCCAGTGACAGTTATTATATTTACTAGATTGTTTTTTTAATATCCTGATGTATCTATATAATTTAGCTTATAAAATTATAAATTTATAACATCAAATAATTTAAAACTGAAAACATAAAGTATCCATAGAATTTTTAGAGTGGATATTATGGAACTTATATCTAGATACATTAGCTTCCTTAGGAAATGCTATACTCTGTGCTCTAAATTCGTATTCATCCTTAACACTTGGCCATGTTTTAAATATTATTAAAAACGGAACACCTATATATATATTAAAACAATATTTACATATTCTTATTGTATTCTATAGAAAAATATAATTATACAACACTTTGCTATTTTAAAAATATTTACAAATCTAAATATTTTATATTGTGATATTCTTAAATAAATGTTCATATTTATATTATAGAATATGGCCATGTGAACTGTAATATTAAATATTGTAAGTTTTTGTGCATATCTTGTTTATAGGTTACACAAAACTTACATATTTCTATGAACACGCATTACACTATCATGCAGTTAAGATGTTTAAGTAAATTCTTATGATATGTCCACAGAAAAAAAAACTGATACGATGGGAAAAAAAAGAGAAAGAAAAAACCTCATGTCAAAAGAAAAAAAAAAAGATTGGACAAAGATGGGCACAATTATTCATATTTGATTTAATAAATCTTCATATAAAAATTACAAATGTAGATCAGCGATAATTTGCAATTGCAGTTCAATTGTGTTTTTATTTAATTTACAATAAGATCCAATCTTGTATTATCAGCCTTTATTAGTTTCCAAGAACTTCACTTTGTTTGGATTACAAAAATATGTAAAACATTGGAATGTTAATAATATTATATTAATGTGTATAAAAAATGCACTGATTGTGTAAACGCATATATGTCCATATATACGTACACGTACACATGCAAGTATATAACTCTATAAATATTAAATATTATTTTAGCACAAAAAATGTAAGACATTTTGAGAAAATTTATGTTTGTATCTTGGGTTATTCCAAAATAAAAAAATGTATCATTCCTTTTTATATGCATATCTAAATAATTGTGACATATCGTCGTCCTTATGTTACTTTTCTCTTTGTAATTGTTTCTTTGATTTAGAATAATTTAGATACTAATTTCTGAACTGTAATTTTTGTTTTTTTTTTTAGATTTGACATATTTGCATTTATTGAAAAATTCAAATATTTTTTTTATTTGTTGAAATTTTTATTTAGCTTAGTATAATGAACTATTATGCATTTAAAATTAGATTTTTTCCTATTTAAATAGAAAGATCATCGATTTTAAATTACATGATTATGATTGCGACTGTTAATAAAGATGATAATAGTATTAAATAAGATAATAAATTGTACACAAAGAAATCAATTTTTGTAGTATACGCGATATTCAGAAAAATATACTAGCGATTTAGAAAATGATTTTAATAAATTATAATATAGCAATAATAATTTTAGAAATATTTTTGGTATAACATAAAGGCTGATATTATGGCTAAAAGTAAAATTCTAGATGTGACTATTTAAATAATGTTATTACAATATAATTTTTGTAATAACTTAATGTGTTAAATAATTTCAGTTATATAAGCATAAAATGAAAAGAAGATTGAACTGCAATGTAAATATCTAGAGTAATATCATATTACTATAATTTATGGTAACTTTTGTATACACAGTAAGTGAAAGTTGCGAGATTAAAAATTGTTATAATTTCTAAAACGACATTTTAATAATATATGCAACTTTCATTTATTTATTACTAACTATACATCCTCAATTTTATCTCAAAACATATTGCTACTAATTTGTAAGATGCGTGTAAAATGTTTTTGAACTATTAATCCACTATGCTATGATGTTAGGAGGAGAGCCAAGTTTCCACATATTAATAATCGAACCACATTTCGTAACGTTACTTCCATGTCGCTAAGTATTTTGCAGGTGCAGTGCAGCATCAGCATCAATTGAGTGATAATCATTCAAATTTCATGAACAATTTTTACGTTCCATTAAGAAAAACAAAGAAAGAAAGAAAAGAAAAAAAGAAAAGATAATTAACATATAAATGTAATATATAAATGTAACATGATTGGGTGGTCAATAAAGATTTTCTTGGCTTAAATATCATATGTTGAATATATTATTGAATTTACAAATATTTATATTAATATTATTATAAAGAATAGGTAAAATAAAATTAACGTCACAAAGGATTAGTGATTTGCGTTTATTAACATTTATAGTATTTAAATCGACATTTTTACAATTCAATTAATATTATCAGATGAATAAATTTTATTCTCATACAAATTAATAATATTTTAATAACAGATATAACTAGAATATTGTTATATTTGTTTTATTAGAAATTTCTATTTCTTTATATTTCTGAAGGCATATAAATGCACAATTAATTTCTAAAGAATTTTCAATTAATGAAAAGGTTGCAAGTGGGGCATAACAGAAATAATTGAAGACCTGAATCAAAACGTTAAAAATACAACATAACAGAATATTTACTGTATGTTTTAATTACTATATAATGCAAACAAAATTAAATTTTTGAAGCATATATTTATAAGATTCTAGTCTAATTATCATTTTGTTCGCCATATTAATACGAATAACATTCATTTGTGAATTATGTATGCAGATTTTGAATAACATTACTAACATTATTAGTACTTTTAACGACCACAATATTCGGCATCTAATTTTAATACAAATAAAGATATCTTAAACATGTCAGTAAATCACATAAATTTTATAACAACCTATTACTGGATTTATTAGACTGGAACCTTAATTACTAATTACGTTTTTAAATTTTATAATATTAAATAATATGATTTATAACAGATAATTAAGTTAATTCTTCAAAAATTAACTTATTCATTCGATTATTTTGTTTTTGTGTGATTAATTGATTTCAGGAAACGTATAGATATTCAACATAATAATAATGTATAAATAACAAGTAAAGAATTAGAAGATTAGAACAAGAAGTATTAAAACATTAAAAATTTGTCTCTAATACATTATTTTTAAATATTGAATTATATTCTTTTATAATAATCAAATTTTAAATATAACTTATTCTATATATGCAACATATTTTTTGAATACGAGATCTATGTATAATGTACTTTATAATGCACAGCTAGTCTTTATAATTCAGGTCTTCAATTTAAATCTATGAAATTTAATAGCAACATCTTGGACTTGCTTTATTTCAGTCCTTTTTTGATAAATATCCATGTTCACGTAATACTTTTAATTATTTGGTTTAAAGAACAGGATATAAGATTGCATTGAGATAAACATTGACTAGTATACCAACTTCATGGTTTCAACAAATTTTGTTTGGAAGGCAATAGTGATCATTAAGAATTCGTGACATTTAATTTAAGTGTTTCAAGAATTGATCGACATAAACTTTGTAAATTTGGTCTTGTTGTCTGATCTGTGTGGATATTCTCCAAATATTTTAATATTTCTACGCCACCTTCTCTGATTAACATACTGCAATACCGTTTTGCTACAAGAGAATAACATAACAAATAAATAATAATTTTTATCATTAATATGATTAAAAATATACATAACCATATTTAATATGTTTGTTCATGCAAATATACTTACGATTCTTCGTGCATACATGATGTATTGCCCAAACTGCCCAAAGTTGAACAGGATATACATCTGAACAACGCAAAAGTGGGAAAAATGGATGGAAACTTCTATATGCAACCATTTCCCCTTGAGGAGTTTGCCAATGTGTTATAGTATGAGCTAATTGTTCTAATAATTCATCTCTACTTGGCAGTGAGGATATTGCAGCCCATGCACGTGGACCATCACTAAGCAAATGCGCAGCAATACCTGCTGCGAAATAAGATACATCAATATGTACAGATGTCAGCAACGTAGAAAGCATAGAGATGAACCTAGGTTGCATAAGTCTTGGTCTTAAATGAACCACCTATAATGAATTACAAAATATAGCCAATCTGTATTTATAATTATTAATAAATTAAGTCATAACTAGATAATAGTTATTTATACAATAAATATAAAAAAGTTAAACTAAATTTGCTGTATTTATAAAGTAATGAATTATATTACAAACCTCTGCTATATTATTTAATGAACCAAGTACTTTAGTTTCAACACTAAACTGTCCTTGAAAACTTTCTAACACTTTAAGAAATAATTCCATTCCACCTTCATCTAGAAAGACTTCACATGTTGTAGCACTTTCATCAGTTAAATTCCACAGAGCACTTAATGTAAATTTCATTGTTATGTCTACTGATTTAGATTCAACTTTAGTCCTAACCATTGCTAATAATTTAGACATATATTGAGGTTGAGCACCAAGCATAGATGTTTCCACTGTTGATATTTTTGCTGCCAATATAGAGCAGATGGCAACAGACATGCGATTCATTGATGGTTCATTAAAAGTTAATAAAGAATTTAACACTAATCTTGCACATCTATACAAATGAAAAATAAGTGAATTATAAATTATTATTAATTACATAAAATTAAACTTAAAAATTATAATAAAACAGTTAAGAAGTAATGATATTTTAATTTTATAAATTTTGGTTACCTGTATTTGTCAAAAGTAATTTCCTGTAGAATTCTGTCACTACATAAAATTAATAATGTATTCATTTGAAGCCGATAATTAGTTGGGTAACATTCCATTGCAATCATTGTTAGTTCAACAACTTGCTTAAGAATTGATGGATGAATCATGATGGAGAATTCACCCTTAGTGAGATTATAAAGACATGCAGTACATGGCACCTGTACACGTACTTCCTGTGGATGTTCTCTCATTGCAGGTAATACTAATTTTATAACATCAATCCGAGATTCAAGAAAATTGTGTGTCAAACGGAATAAATTAAATAAACATTTTTCAAGGTAAAGTGGTCTACACGTATACCTTCTCAGACCTTCTAAAATTTGAGATTCTGTTGCTGTACCAGTAACCTACAATAAATATTAAATAATATATTAATGTAAATATTAATTAGAATATATAACATTTTTAAATATTTTTCAATTTAAAAATTAAAATAGAAAACTTTGTAGAAATCTTACATATATTTTTTTTGAATTTTTTATATTATTTTTATTTTTATTTTATTTTACAATCAACTATTACAAACATTATATACCTATAATCAATAACTATTTTCCTATGTAATATTTTAATAATACTTACAACAAGTCCAGGCCTATAATATTCATCTGTTGGATTTGTTAAACTGTCATCATAACAAGCATCTGTACTTACAAGTCCCAAAAACCTTAAATATGGATGAGCTTTAATAAATTCTTTTAAATCTTTTGGATCTATATCACCCTTACCTATATTAGATATTAAAATAGAAAATTATAAAATTAATTTGATTGTGTATAGAACTATATAGTAGCAACGTATTGTATATTATATAATTACCAGATAAATCTAAACTAGTTAGATATGGCATACAATGTACAGCTTTCAAAAAATCAGTTATTTTTGGCTTCTCAGGCCCTAACATACAATTAAGAGCATGCATATCTTTTTCATCTGAGATATCTAAATTTCTTAGTTCATTCAACTCCAATAATACTGAGATTAAATCTGCACTTTCATTTATCTTTAAATTATACATATTAAGTGTTTTTAGACGGTTTTTACATTTTTTTAATGGTGTTATATCGTCGACTTTTGTACATGAAATATCTAAACTTTCTAAAAGAGGAAGATCTTCAACTACTATTTCCAAACCATGTTTATTAAATTCTGTACCTGATACATTTAATGTATGCAGTGACCTCAATTTACTTAATGTTACTACCACACAATACCTATTACAAAATATATAGATAGTTTAAACATTAAACAAATAGATAATATATATTTATAACAATTAATTGTATAACAATTAATTGTATTAAATACCTCGAACAATCTATGAAACTTCCTTTTGCTACACTTAGTGATCTAAGATTTTGTAAACTCCAATCACCCAAACAACTTATTAGATCATTAACAGTTATTTTTAATCCATTTACCATCAAATCTACCACTTTATGTTGTTTTAAAACTTTTAAGCCTTTTGCTGATAATGTAGATGCATCTTTCAATCGTACATGTCTATGAGTAATAAAAAAAATAATTAATGATTCATATTTACATTTTATATTCAAATTAAATTCACATAATTAAAATGGAATGTAGGTACCTTAACCTGGTGGATTTTGAATTGAAAAGTGTAATTGTCAAATCAGATAATGTTTTTTTCTCACAAAGGTTAGCCAATAATTGTTCTGATATCTCAGCTGGTAAAAATGCATCTGGATGTCTAAAACTAAGTCTTGTAGCAGAACTTGACGATCCATCATTAGATGCTTTACCTATTGCATTTAAGATATTATAATTTATTGAGAAGTGTAATTAACAAATCATTATAAAATTATTTATATAAAATTACTTATATAAAAATAAACTTTAATGAAATACTTAAACTTAATAAGTAAGATATATATAAGATGATTGAAAAAATATTTTCTCAAATTATTAAAATAGCACTTACTACAAGTAGTTGTATCCAATGAATTAGAGGAATATTCTTCCGTATCACTGATGTGTACGTCACACAAATCCAAGACATTGTTACAAATAAAATCAATGCAAACCTCAAGGAGGCTTTTTGGAGATTCAAACATTTTATATATTTGTTAACACACAAATATTCTTCCTTTATTTCCTGTAGCTCCTTAAAGTTGATTATTTCAAATGGTCTAACATTTCATTCTTTCATATTATTCAAAGAATCTGTTAGAACATACATATATACATTTATATCATATATATACATCATACACATATCTGATGCACTATGTTTAGAATTTAAATTTTCTAATATTAAACGTACACTATGAAATAGAATACATCAATTTCATGAAAATCAATACATCTGTCGTTGGAAAAAAATTAAATCACATGCAATTTAACTTTCTTGTAATAACAAAATATTTAAAAAACATGCTACATCTGTCTCGGCTAAAAAATGATGTGTAACTGTATACGCGACGATATCTAAAGGAAATTTCGGAAAAAAAAATCACATACATAATTTTACTCCTAACATATATAAATGACAGAATTTTAAATAATGATTACGTAATGACAAGTCCATCGAATGGAATAAATATTTGTGTCACTATGCATCTAAGCACATTGCGTATAACACGTATATAAAGAAATTTATGAAAATGAAGTTATTTGTTAGATACACCAAACTTTATTACGCGAGTATGATATCTTTTTGAAAATCATTAAATCGTTATATGAACTTATTTGTGGAAATAGCATTGGACACAATTGTAAAAACAACTGCGGAAGATTATAGTCTCTCACCTGTGGAGAGAACGCCATATTGACTTGTTAAATGTCAAAACAGATTAAAAAGTACGACATAGATGCATATTGTTAAATGCGTGACGTATGATTTATCAAATGCAACGATATAGTCAAGGAAGAACATTATCAATTGTAATTTCTTCATTCGAGTTCATTTCGAGAAAATCGTTTCGCGTGAATTACGATGATTTTGAACGTACGTACCTCAGTATTAAGGAAAATTGACATATTTGTTGTCTTTATCGAAAAAATTTATTTTGCGAAGAATATTTGTAGATAAAAATCATAGAACATTCCTTAATAGTCACACAGATCTTTCCATTTAGAGGACATAATAGAGTATAAATTTTACTTATAAGGAAATTCATTGGTTATTGACATACTCAATATGGCGGTAAAGTGGAAAACGATGTGCTTTCCAGTACGTATTACGACTTCATTTTTGTATAAGAATTTTTCCTAGGTACGAGTGTAATATTTACATAAAGATTATTCAAGAGTATTCGTTTATAGTGAATGTAATAATTATTTCATATCATGTGATGACAATAATGTTCGATCATTAATTAAACGAATAAAAGATGTATTAAAGAAACTGATTTAAAATTCAACTGTTCAATTCTGACAATTGTACTGTTGTATTTAATTATTTAATCATTTTTTTCACATATCAGAGTGAGAGTGGATATAAACATAAATATATAAATTGTTAAATTTTTTGGAGAGATAACAATATATAATTTATAACTATGATATAAATTTCTTTATTTTTTAAGGTTTAAACAAGAACGTGTTTCTCAAAATAAAATCATGATTTAATTGTCCAGTGATATGTGTCACTTATTTCATAACCTCATGTTGCACGATATATGGCATTGATAACTTCATTTACATTTAAATTTAATTTCATAAAAGAATGCCAAGTTTGCGAAAAAAAGTTGCTGGTTTTATGCGACAACTGTCTATTAGCAATTTAGCTGGAGCTGCAGAAAATATAGGACAAGGAGAACAAACTTTACGTAGTCCTAGATCATTAACACAAGATTTTACAAGTGGATGCTTTATTACACGATATCTTGATGGGTAATAATCTTTTTATAATATAGTTTTCATTTATTAATATCTTAAATAAATGTAAATATTGTTATGCATATTTTCAGTTTGGAAACAAAGCAAGAAGGACCAGCAATTTTGCATGGCAGAAATCCAGAAGAATTACCAATTAGACAGCTTGGAAGTTTTCAGGAAAATAAAGATGTAGTTTCTGCTCATACCGGTCCAGATAATGGACTTACAGCTGTTAATGTGCAACAAAGACATTTAAGTATTAACGATATTGATATAGATTACATTGATATGTTAGATCAAGGAGAACAGTATAGAAATAGTATGTATTGAAGTTATTATAAAGTTATAAAATAATAGCAAAATGTATTTAAGGAATTACTTTTTTTAGCATCAACAACAACAGCTCCTACAATTGCTGGCATTACTGGTTGGTTTAATCCTCATGAAATGGCTTATGGAATTGCTACTACATTATATGAGAAAAATCCTATAAATAATACAAATAACGGTGAACCAATAGCAGATTGTTTTGGTATTGTGGCGAGATTAAATTCAGCTATTTTAGCACTTGCTGATGGTGTTAATTGGGGTATGAAGGATAATAGTAGTTTATTTTAAATGATATTAAATAAAAATATTGGAGTATATGCACACATATTGTATAAAATAAAATTATTAGGTACCAAAGCAAGTATTGCAGCTAGGTCTGCAATACACGGAAGTATGGAATACTTAAATAAAGCACTTTTTTGTCCTTCTGTTAATGGAGAAATGACTACAACAAAAGACGTATTTATAGCATTACTTCGTTCATTCCATGCTGCACATTCGTTAATTTTGCAAGAGCAGGGAATGCTTACAACATTAACTGTGTGTGCAGTTCTCCCACTGCCAAATGATTCTAATACAGAACAGAATAAATATATAGCATGTACCTGCAATGTTGGTGACAGTTTAGCTTATGTGTATTCTAGGTAATATAAACAAAAACATAAAAAGTATCATTATTGGCATTAAGTTGTTTATGATAAAAGGAATATTTGATATTGGCAGGAAAACTGGAGTAAGAGAAATAACAAGAGGATCTCATGATATTCACTGCATGCGCGATATGCGTGATGCTCTTGGAGCTTTAGGTCCTGTCGATGGATCTAATCCTGAATTGAATAACTTGACGCTTGCAATGACGGAAGTGGAGAAAGGAGATATTGTATTTTTGACTAGTGATGGAATTTCGGATAATTTTGACCCTGTAGTTGGAAAGTTTGCAATTTTACCATGTCACAATTCTGTACCTGATTCAAATGTAAAAAACCATACTGAAGGAAGATCAAAAACGCGTCGAAAGTCTGCAGAAAACTTAAGACATGCAGAATCTGGCAACAGTAATAGAAATAAATCAAATTTGCCTGTAGTCGAAGCATATCAACGACATGAACTCACACTGCTTAGAATGGAAGATTTGTTAAGAAGAGGTGTATCTGGAGAAGGTCCACCATGCAATAGTGCCAAACATCTTTGCGAACTCCTCTTGGATTTTGCAGTAAGTTATTTCAAATTTAATAATGAAGTATGCAAAATGATATGCATATGCTATACTTTTTAACTTTTTTTATGAAGGAAAAAATAAGACAATTTAAATACTAATGTAAATTTCATTTTTACACATAATAAGGTACGCATAACTGCCGCTAAAAGACGAATATTGGAAGATACAGATTTATATTATGCACAAAATAAAGATGGCCAATTAATTCAGCTTTCCAAACAAGAACAAAGAACTCGACGAATAAAGACTTTGGATAAAGTTTCAATGATTCCAGGGAAATTAGATCATGCAACAGTTGTAGCATATGTAGTTGGATCAATCAATTCAGAATATGATTTATAATTAATTATAACAAATTATAAATTTAATTTATAAGAAAATTAATAAATTTTAGAATCTTTTTTAAGAGTAACATTTTTTGCAAATTAAGTTAAAATTATTGTTTTATTATGGAATTAACTTGTTTATATAATATAATTTTTTGTTATTTAAAATAAAAAGATACATATAACAATGCGTGTTTAATGATACTTATTATTATTATAAATTTGATTTATAGATACGTGCAAATAAAATATACATTTATTTATATATGTATATATATATATATATATATATATATATATAAAATATAAATGAATTGCAATTGAAAATCACTTAATGTAAATGAAATCTACAATTTCATTTTGAAATAGAAAATGTCCTAAGCAGATTTGTTATTAAATTTATTAAATATTTGATATAATTAAATAAAAATGTTTAGTAAATCTGTATTAAAATTTTCAAAAAGCTATCGTATTAAGATCACTAAAACTTTCCATTTACTGATTGGTTATAAGTAAAGTATTAGCCAATGAAAATAAAGATTTTGCTAAATGGATGATGCAAAAAGTTACAGTACCACAACCACGGTGTCGCCAATGGCAAAAGTTCTGGGATTTTATATGCTTGTGCTTGTGCTAATGGCAGCCTTGACAAATACATAATGGCCGTTACCAGTTCTAGTTACCTCCGAATAGTGTAACGCGTACATGAAACTGTCGTGTGCCAGAACAGTGTATTATTTTAAGTAGAATTTTTCCTCTTATGTATCTCATGTATCGTGTTTCTATTCGTGAAAAAATAAAATACTGTGTTCAGAACTGAAATCATGAGAAAAGAAGGGTGAAAAAACGTAAAATCACGAGAAAAAAACACGGATGGTAAAACCGCGTTCGCGGAGGTAATATTGACAATTTTTCATCACGACGCTATTCGCATTTTTTCGCGTCAATATGAAATAGTTGTATCCCGGGCACCTCCTTTGAGTTTTTTAGCTATTCGAACCGAAAAATTTTTCACAGATGGTTGCTTTTTCTTTTGTTTACGCCTTGTCAGTTGGGCTTTTGTTGTGTGCATCCGCGCGCCGCTGGTACCTATAAGTGAGAGTGAGATGTATGCGATTCTTGTATGCGTGTAAGTGGCTTGTGTGGCACGTATGCTTGCACACAGGCGCCTAAGTTATAACCTCAAAATATGCTTCCAGCTGTCGAATCTTTTTACAAAACTTTTTCCACGCTTTAAAACGGTTATTTGTACATACAAGTGTTATGGTATCATAACAACGTGATGGTTTCTAACATAGTGTACATGACATCGTTTCTTACCAGTATTGTATATTTTGTTTTACAGTACAAGTTCTAACAAACTTAAATATTAATAGCCTGATATAAATTCAAAAGAAACAATCCAATTTGAATGAAATTACAAAGTGTTATTTTATCTACAATGACTAATTGAATATTGTTTACATGTTACAGGATACAGATTGAATATAAAATTTGTGAAGCCATAAGTGTGGTGTGTGACATTTTTAAACAATTCTAAAGTTGACATAGATCTGAATTATGTTTATGGTTCAAACATAAAATGTCTTGATATTAGTATTTCAAACATTAATGAATTACTAAAGGATATCTATCAAATGTTATTTAAAATTGAGATAATATACAATATATTATTTATAAAGTGACATACAGAGATGTGTCATGGAAAAATGTAGTTCAATTGTGTTTATACATGGATGCAATTTTGCAACAAATGTGCTTTAAAGATAAGTTAGAGTATTTTCAAAATGCAGTTGTACAATTATTCTTTAATGGATAATGTAGTTCTGAAAAGAACTACCTACTATATGCAAGGAATTAATATTCAAACATGGTTAACATTAAAGTGTGATATTGAGAACAAATATCAACAATCTATGTAAATAAACATATTTTGAAAAAATAAAAGGGTATTACCTAAACAACAGATGAAATAAGAAGTTACATGCATGACAGGAATAGGAGACGTAGGTCGCAGACGCGTTGAATGGCGCCGTAGCGCAAATACAATCTTCTTCTATCACTAAGCTGTAATTCATGAGTGGTAAGTCTATATAATTAATTTATATAAAATTATATTTCATATAGGTCGAAAATTTCATATAGGTAGTGTTATCATATAATTTTCATGTCTTACAAATATATAGAGATATATAGAAGCAAACATAGATAAGCTGAAAAGGTGGCTAGACGCTACCCAGAGTAAAGAGGGGCTGCGTGGGCATGCAGCAGCCTCAGTCACGCCCTCTTCTCGGGGACTCAGTATCCTCTACAACTTCCCCGACTGCTCGGCGTAATAATCCTGTTGCTGTTTTGACACATCAACAGGTATGATTCTTCTAAGTGAAGCTTTAAATATTTAAGGGTTGTATATTTAAGTATAATATTTAAGTTTTTTACTACAATTTGTTTTAGTTACAACAATTACAACAACTGCAGGCTCAAAATTCGAGTGGTCAGTCATTGACATTTGCTTTACAACAAACATCAAATAATGTAAGTATTTTAAAATATATATTCATTTGGAAACATCATTGAAGTAAATGAATAATATTTCTATGATAAAATCTTACAGCCGCAAGACCAAGGAAATAGGTCAACAACTGGAAACCACATAGTATATGTAAACCAGTTAAACCATTTAAATCAGAGTACCATAAATCCCTCAGGGACTGGTATGGGCCTACCCCCGGCCACCCCCACTTTTGGGGTGGGCCTTAATATGGGATTGCCACTATCACTTTTAAATACCAGCCTTACATCCCTCACATCTAATGTTATCACTACATCAAATCCTCTGCTCAATTTGGGCCTGCCAAGTATAAATACAGGACTAACTACAATAAATCCTAGTCTCAATCAGTTAAATACCATAAACTCAAATTTAACTTCAAATATTGGTTCAAACAGTATTAATAATGGTTTATCTGGTTTGGGACAGGATATAAATACTGGAATTAATAGGCTCAATACATTAAACTCAACAAATATAAATTCTGGATTATCCAGTGTGAATACTGGAATTACCAATGTAAATCAGAATTTGACAAGTTTAAATTCAAACATAAACCAGAATGTAACCAGTTTGAGCACAAATTTTACATCCCCAAGCTCTGGTGTATCTGGTTTAACTGCTATTAATCCAAATATAAATGCAAATTTAACTACTACCAGTATAAATTCTGGTATGAATCAAGGCCTCAATCGATCTATTAATGCTTTAACAACTGGATTAACTCAAACTAGTCTAAATTCCAGCAGTACACAATTTCCATTCCAAGCCATACAAAGTATACAGAGTATTGCACCACACATTGTTGGATCAAATATTGCACATGTACCAAGTTCTGCTATATCGCAGCACCCGAATTCAAACGTTTCTACTATTTCACAAATAACAAATACTGGTACCTTGACAAGTTCCAGTATATTCACAAGCACTTCCAGTGAACCAATTCATTCAACCACAGCAAATGTGAATCACGCTTCAAACGTGAATCTCACTACAAATATTCCACATCTTGGTACAATGCACTCAAATTTATCTAATGTATCAACATCTAATGTGCAGCATATATCTGCATCAAATGAACCGAATATGTCACTGAGTCATACTTCTTTAAGTTCTTCTCAGTCAACTGGATTTCAATCTCAGCGACAATATTCACAGGGAATTAACCCTGGTTTAAGTTCATCGGTAACACTAACGGGCTCATCTCAACCATCAAATGTGGTCAGTACAATAAATACTGTAAAATCTATGCAGAACATTCAAAGTCAAAATATTAGTTCTCCAAGCAGTCCATTTTCAATACCATTAAAAAGTCCAGCATCTAATATTGCACCACCTACACCAAGCCCTAGTCCTAACAGACTACTACTTAGAAGTCCAGCATCTAATTCAATACAATCTAATAGAAATAGTCCAAGTCCTGTTGGAACATCAAATAATAACTTTAATATACAAATGCAAAGTCCAATGCAGAGTCCAATGAGTGTTAGCCAAATTCAGAGTCCTGTACTTAGTCCATATCCTCCTGCAAAAAGTCCTCATTTGTTAAGTGGAAATAACTCTCTAAACAACAGAAGTCCAGCACCTGGTGGAAGTCCTGGTCCACCTGTGGTAAGAAGCACTTATTATTAATTTAATGTAAAAAAAAA